TGGGTAGGCATTTTACGATCATTTCTGTAATCTTTTCTAAATTGGTTTTATCTTTTCTATTCAACTAACTTTTTTAGCTGACCTCACCTAATTTGAGCTTCAATCTCATTTTTCAAGTCGATATAGTTTTTTGTATTATGGTCGATGTCCCAATAGAAGGCGCATCTTTTGGTTGGATCCCACCTTGTATTCTGTCTTAGTGGCTTAGGCCATCTGATGTTAGAATTTTTTTTGATTTGCGTTAAAATCCTCACTCTAGAGGTATTTAGTACAGTGTAGCTTTTTCTCTACTGGAGCTTTTAGTCTTGTATTGTTTCCCTCTTAGGGGAAGATTGTAGAACTTTTTGCCTTTTTATTATCGAGGAGAGGGATAAGCCTCTCTCACTTTAACTGTCGAAAAAAGGGGGATGAACCTCTTTCACCTCAGTTTGTTTTCATTATAGCTTTAACGTTGATATATTTCTCTGCTATTAGCAAGACATCGACTAGAGTTTTGGGTGGCTCCAACGACATTGTTAACTTTAAGTGGTACTTTTTATCTTTAAGTCCACTGATCAATGCAGCAATAGCTGCAGTCTATTCTAGGTTTTTGACCTATAAAGTTTTTGCATTAAAATGTGTGACATAGCTTTTTAATGTTTCATTTCGCCCTTGATGAATTGACATCAGGCTTAGGGCATTTTCTTAACTCTTCAGTGACTCACGAATTGAGACAGGAATGAGTGGCTCAACTCTTTGAAAGTAGTGTTCGACCTTGGCTCCAGAATACTATACCAAGATCGAGCTGTGCCTTTCAAATTAGTAGTTAGTCCCTTGCACATTAAAGTCTCGTCTATCTCTTGTATCATCATGTTAGTTCTATAAAGTTTTAAACGATCAAAATGGTCAGAATTATCATCATATGTCTCATTTTAAATCTCTTAAGAAGCATGACTTTGTCAATCTCTTCCATAAAGGGTGAGATTTCTAAAAACTTGAGCTCATCCTCAAATATTGCTAGTTTCATTTTTAATTCTTTCTCTATGGCCTACATCTGAGCTTTTAAATCTCTATTCAGTTAAAGTTCATGGTCTGTTTGTTTGGACTTTTGAGTTGTGGTATGTGTAGAATTCTAGCTAAGGCAGTGAGGGTTGAATTGGTCTACTTTTCTTCTCCGAAGGTCGAGGAGGCTTCCACCTCTTCGTAGCTCGATTGCTCAACAACAGCTTCTCGATCCGGTGTGACTAAATTTGGCACTTTGGAGACTTGTAGTTGGATTATAATTTTGAACATCCAGTATTTGATGATGAGCCCTCTGCAACTACAAACCAAGTTTAGCTCCTGCAACAACAAATTTAGAAAGGAAAACAAAAGAAAAAAAGGTGATATTTTGCTTAAAAACATTGTTGTTTGGCTTGAAATCAAACGATGTGAACTTCTTGTTTTGCTCTATTATGCTGTGGATGAGGGGTGTCTTTCGTTAGAAACTCACGTCAAAATCATTAGAAGAAAACCAAGCTTATAACTCCTATCTTTCTTATTTAAAGCGTTGAAGATGCACGTTTATGACAGAAAATAATGAGTCTTGTATCAAAAATCAAAATCATCGTTACCTGGGAAAGCAAATAAAGCTACCGGTACGTGTACTACTTTGACAGCGGGATTTGTCAGCCACTCATGTCCTATATAGCCTATAGGTAAAACATGCAAAGAAAGAGCAGAGCGCTTCAAGCAGTCCCTGCCTGCCGCGTACACGTAAAATTAAGGACCAGTTTTGAATTCGCTGCAACTGAAAGGAGAAAAAAGTAAATTTCCTTTTTGCCCAATTCGTTTTGCTGTTCATTCCTCCAAATGGTTCTGCTTCATGTACGCTTTATTTCAACGTTGATTCATATTGTCTGGGCAGAAGCGCAATTGCTGTGTACTTGTTGCATGTAAAAGTAAAAGCTTTATTAATTTGATGAAAAAGCGCCAATTACGAGCTGCCTAATAAGAAGTAACAACTCAATAATGGCGGGAGATTCCCTCAGACAAAACGAGGTGAAGAAGGAAGGCTAGCGGGTCAGAAAGAAAACAAAAAAAAAAAAAAGGTTTGGCGACTTTTGCAGTAATAATAATAGTAACAAGCTTTCGCATCAAAAAAAAAAAAAAATAGTAACATGCTTTGCATAAATTTACATCTTTGAAAGCATTACTAATGGTACCATTCCCAGAGATCAAACCAATTCATGAACCATGATTGCTAAAAATCTTGCTCTTATTAAGAGTCCAAGAAACATATCCTTTTCGGAACAATTTAGGAACATTAACCTTGCACTTTCGTTTGTCTCAGTAGGTTAATCAAATTGAAAATTAAACGGCAATTGGTATTTTTTGTTTAGTTGGAAGAGAAGAATAACGATGGGTTTTTAAAAAGATAACAATTGACCTAGTTATATATGTTGGGATGATATATCATTTAAGGCTGATAACCACTGCAGTTTGCAAATGAATTGGTAGCAACCACAGCAACCAAACGATTAAATTATTGGCATATAAAAGCTTTGTCGAGAGCCGTTGGGAGAAAATAAGCCATAAACATTGAGACAAGACAGCAAAATAGAATTTACACTCTTTACCTAAAGCTGAGTACAAGAAATTAGGATTTAGGATAATAACTAAATTATTAAACATAGAAGCAGCACTACTGTTATAGTCAATAATCAAAAGTTTTAGATGAGTTTAGATTACTTAACACAAATATTCTAGAAAGAGGTTCAAATTATAAACTAAGAACCATTAACAAACAATAATACTTCGATTCAAGTCATGCTCAACTTCCTATGCTGATCTTCTTACCCACCAACTGAATTGCCCGCATAAAATCTTCAAACATCTACAACAACACAAGTAGACAACCATTAAAATCAATTTTAATTATATGTGAACAAAGGACAGCACCTCAAGTTTAGTGATCTCTGTTGTACCGCCAAAGAGTACCCACAAGTCCCAATCCTTCCATTTATCTCACCACTTTTTTTTCTAGCACGGCGACATCGAAAACCTTATGCACACTAGAGCTAGGTCCAGACATCCAAAAGCCCTCATGCACACATATTATGCATCCATTGTAATCATGCATAAAATCAAATAGCAAAAGCAATTCTCAACTAGATAGCAAGCAACTATATGCATCCATTCATACTAATGGGAAAACAATGTCACAAATTTTGATAAATTTAACCAAAACCAATGACAAGATCGAAAACATAATTTGAAAGGAAACCATGATATTCCTACTAGCAGAGTTTAAGAACAATGAACAAAGACCCATCCTTCATAATCAATTGGACGTAGTTTGAAAGGAAACGCTGTTCCTCAAGAACAATGAACAAAGACCCATCCTTCATAATAATAATCAAATAGCAGCGACAAAACAAGATCAAATTCCTAAAACCAAATTATAAGTATGGAAAAAGGAGAGCAAAATTGATGTTACCTGTTGTGGCAGGAGGAGCCTTTTCCCTACAAAAGTAGACCTCTGTTGGATCATCTCCTAATCATTTTATAATTATAGTGATCCATGGCAGCAACACAAAACGGCTTAAGGTTTTCGCGAGAATAAGCACTCAAGGTAATGGGTGTAACTCATAATAATAATTTTTGGGATCTTGTCAAAAGTTGGGATGGTCTTAAAATTTATTCAAAATTTTTAAGTTTTCACCGAAAAGTTGAGATAATCTTAAAATTTGTTTAATAAATTTGAAAACTCACCAAAGAGTCGGGATGTTCCTAAAATCCTTTTTAAAACAAAACGAGATTTGGAGAATTTTGTGAATGGTTAATTTTTTTAAAATATTTTTTAAATAGTAATTTTTTATAAATTTCGTTAAAGCGTTGAAGAATTTATAAAATATGAAATAATAATAATAATAATAATACTAATTTCACAACAAAAAAATATTTTTTAAAATAAATTTTAAGAAATTAAATTTAAATATAAAAAATCATCCCATCAAAATTAAAAATTACACATGTTTAATTGATACCATTCTTCGAACAAACAACGTGAAGTGCTGATACATTCTTCACTCGTAATTGTACTTTCAATTTAATTTTGTTTTTACAAACCTAAATATTTTTAATAAATTTTAATTAATTTTAAGATTTTTAAAAATATATATATATTTAAATGGTCAATTACACTCTTTAAAAAATTTGATGATGACTTCAAAAATTTTCATAAAGTCTAACAATTGATTCTCCAGACAAAAAATCGTTATTACATCAACATTGATTCATATTATCTGGGCAGAAGAGCAATTGCTGTGTACTTGTTGCATGCAAAAGTAAAAGGTTTTGCAAATATTAATTTGATGAAGAAGCGCCAATTACATTACCGCTACTCTAAAAGTTACGAGCTGCCTAATAAGAAGTAACAACTCATTAATGGCAGGACATTCCCTCAGACAAAACGAGGTGAAGAAGGAAGGCTAGCGGGTCAGAAAGAAAACAAAACCGAAAAAAAATAGGTTTGGCGACTTTTGCAGTAATAATAATAGTAACATGCTTTCGCATCAAAAAATAATAATAATAATAATAACAATAGCAACATGCTTTGCATCAATTCACATCTTTGAAAGCATTACTAATGGTGCCATTCCCAGAGATGAAACAAATTCATGAACCCTGATTGCTAAAAATCTTGCTCTTATTAGGAGTCCAAGAAACATATCCTTTTCGGATCAATTTAGAAACATTAACCTTGCACTTTCGTTTGTCTCAAGAGGTTAATCAAAATGAAAATTGAACAGCAATTGGCATTTTTTGTTTAGGTGGAAGAGAAGAATAACGATGGGTTTTTAAAAAGATAACAATTGACCTAGTTATATATGTTGGGATGATACATCATTTAAGGCTGATAACCAATGCAGTTTGCAAATGAATTGGTAGCAACCATAGCAACCACAGCAACCAAACGATTAAATTATTGGCATATAAAAGGTTTGTCGAGAGCTGTTGGGAAGAAAATGAGCCATAAACATTGAGACAAGACAGCAAAATAGAATTTACACTCTTTACCTAAAGCTGAGTACAAGAAATTAGGATTTAGGATAATAACTTAATTATTAAACATAGAAGCAGCACTACTGTTATAGTCAATAATCAAAAGTTCTAGATGAGTTTAGATTACTTAACACAAATATTCTAGAAAGAGGTTCAAATTATAAACTAAGAACCATTAACAAACAATAATACTTCGATTCAAGTCATGCTCAACTTCCTATGCTGATCTTCTTACCCACCAACTGAATTGCCCACATAAAATCTTCAAACATCTACAACAACACAAGTAGACAACCATTAAAATCAATTTTAATTATATGTGAACAAAGGACAACACCTCAAGTTTAGTGATCTCTGTTGTACCGCCAAAAAGTACCCATAAGTCCCAATCCTTCCATTTATCTCACCACTTTTTTTCTAGCACGGCGACGTCGAAAACCTTATGCATACCAGAGCTAGTTCGAGACATCCAAAAGCCCTCATGCACACATACCATGCCTCCATTATAATCATGCATAAAATCAAATAGCAAAAGCAATTCTCAACTAGATAGCAAGCAACTATATGCATCCATTCATACTAATGGGAAAACAATGTCACAAATTTTGATAAATTTAACCAAAACCAATGACAAGATCGAAAACATAATTTGAAAGGAAACCATGATATTCCTACTAGCAGAGTTTAAGAACAATGAACAAAGACCCATCCTTCATAATAATAATCAAATAGCAGCGACAAAACAAGATCAAATTCCTAAAACCAAATTATAAGTATGGGAAAAGGAGAGCAAAATTGATGTTACCTGTTGTGGCAGGAGGAGCCTTTTCCCTACAAAAGTAGACCTCCGTTGGATCATCTCCTATGTTTTTAGGAATCCCCCTTAAAACGCGAGCTTCAAAGACCTGAGTAGTGTTAGTTTCAGGATTCCTTCCCACAAAAGTTAAATAGTAAAGAAGACCCCGGGCACCCTGCACATTTGCTTTTTCCAACCTCAGAAACTGATACTCTGTTTTCTGAAAGAAAACGGTAATATTTTTATTTTGTTTTTGTTATAGGCAATTGATGATGGTGAAAAATAAAGATATAAACATCCTAATCAAGCTAACCATTTTATAATTATAGTGATCCATGGCAGCAACACAAAACGGCTTAAGGTTTTCGCGAGAATAAGCACTCAAGGTAATGGGTGTAACTATACAGCAACAAGAAACGCCAGGGAAGGATGGAACATCAAAACCCTAAAATTTAAAAAAGGAAAATAGTTAGCATAAAAGCAAAAAATCAATAGAGAGAAAAACGCAAGTATGATGGCTTACATCGCTGGCTTCGAAAGCAACCTTATATCGCCGAATCTCTTCATCAGTAATCTCACGTTCATTGCGGAGCCATCCTCATCCACTGGATCGTCATCATCGTTGTCACCGTAATCACCAAACAACCTCCACGACGTCTCATCATTAAAATCAAAAGCCTTTCCCTCTCCATCTTTATTATTTTCACTTTCTAATTTCTGTTTCTCCTCATATGGTGGTTGATCTTCCACAACCGACGGTGGAGAGGAATAGGAATCTGTCGAAGACATGATCAGCGCAATTGGGATTCTAAAAAATAGGGTGTAGAGAAAAAAAGGCGGAGAACAGATAGCTGAAAGAGACCACAAGCAAATAAGGGGCAGTCATAGGGTTTTTATTATGATTTTGATAGGCGAAATAAAGGGCAGTTATAGGGTTTTTATTGTGATTTTGATGGGCCCAAAAAATATCAAAGAAAAAATATACATATTTTATTAATTTATATGTTTGTGCAGGCTTTCAAACCTAAATTTTTTTTTCAAGACTGACCCGTATTAAAAAATAATATCCAAAACTCATCCATTAATTATTCTAATTTTTTAATAAAAATATTTTTTAAAAATAAAATATTAAACAAAATTTTATATTTATAATTATAATAATTTAGTTATATATATTACTTGAGCCAAATTGGATCTCTCCCAAGCTTTAAATTTTTTTTTCAAGTTCCTCTCCAAAATTTAAATAAACTTAAAAATTTTGTTCAAATTCATTTAATGATTTTTTATTTTTATTTTTGTTTATATTCTTTTAAAATTTAGATAAATCTTTGAATTTGAGCTGATAGCTTAATCCTTGAATATCTCGATATACACTATAATAAATTATATTTTTTTGATATTTTAAAATTTAATAGTTTATATTTGATATATTATCAGTATATAAAATATAAAATATATAAAATATAAATTTTATATATTATTAGTAAATTAGATGATATTATCTTATTATTAAATAAACATTAACCCTTAAAATAATATACAAAAAAATTAATATTTTTTTTAATTTTACTCATTAATAAAGTGATATTATTAAATTTTATGATAATATATAAAATTTATACATTAAATATAAACCCAAAGTTTAAATGTCAAATTTAGAATTTAACGTTTTTTCCTAATTAAAGAGATTAGAAGAAAATTTTAATAGCTAAACCTAATTGTTATTAAATTTAATGATGCGTGCATCCTCTAACTGTTACAAAGTTATATATTGAATTAACTAACTTAAAGATGATATATTTAATTGAAACAATACCTTAATGTTAAATCTATTAAATTGAACATTTAATCCTATTTTAAAATTATATTTTTAAAGATCTAATTTTTTTTAATATTCTAAATTATTTATTATATTTTAAAATTTTTAACATTAAAAATGAAATATAGTATAAAATAAATTATTTTTTTATATTTAAAATTGCTAGAGTATGAATCTGATCAAACAAATAAAACCAAATGAAAGTCCACTAGCAATTAACGAAAATTGTTTTTTAAAAAATTTATTAAATTAAATAAAACAAACAAAACCAAATGGAAGTACACTAGTAATATTATTTATAAAATCAATTATTGATTTTTTTATAGGGTTGCAGGCTTTTACTTTTTTGGGTTTTTTTTTTTTTTTTTCTTTAAAGATGGAGCTGGCAAACCCTCCTAATACTTTGGGTTTCAATACATAACAATGCCTTTTTTATTTATTCAAAAATTTTCCTTTTACGTGCATGCAACAAGTATCACTGCTTCTACGTACGTTTCACCCTAAATTACTTAATATGCTTTATACAGTCAACCCAATGGCCAATCATCATCACGTTGTGCAACAAGCTTACAAGTTACTGTGGCAGGAGCCATTTTGGAGATATCCATTGTGTGGATACAGAAAAGCAAATGCAGATAAAATTCCAAAAACATATATATTACTTTGAAAGGATTTCCAGCGAGCATGTATACATAGATGCACAATGATATATACGTACACAAACGTTTGATGCTGATCAACTGTGTCAACGAGAGGTTCCATCATAGATAGCTTGCTTTTTTGATGCAACTCTTGTTAAAGCTATAAACATTATTCCAAACTGTAGCAAGTGATTTACACTGGAGAAAAGATGATCATAAGAATACAAAAATCAAATTGCAATGAACCACAGTAGAAAAACTGATTGAAATCCCATAACCACATATATATAAATATATGAACATGAATACAAAGAAATAATATATTAATCTAGCAATAGTCTACTGTGCTCACATCAAACTTTGTACTCTGCATCCTCAATTGCAGTAAAGTAAAGAGAAGCTTTATCTGGTAGCACAACCCCATCGATCATTGACCTGACACATGCCAAGGAATAAGAAAAATGAATGACAAGAATGTAGCATATAAGAAACCAACAAAATTTGGCTTTCAGGAGCAAAACAATATTAGTAGAAGTAAATTTAAACGGCAACTTAACCACATCAAAACGGAAGAATAAAATTGCTCAAGAGAAGTCGTCACGAGGATTGAGTTATAAAGACTCAATCAATTAACATTTATAGATGGAATCTAAGCGTCCAATATAACCCACCTCGTCCAAATCATAGCATGCAACAGAGGAAGTAACAATCACGTTTAGAGATTTTAACCATCATAGTATGTAGCTGCCAGTATAGATATGTGCCTTCGACCAAGAAAAAAAAAAGGCTTAATATGCTACCCAAGTGGAGGTAGGAAAGGTCAAGATACTCAAGAACACCAAGATATAAGACAAAACTATAGAAGGCAAACCTTCCCTCATATGGTCAGTTGACAATGACTAAATCCAAGCCATACTTAACACATAAAGGCCCTTAAATGTTCCATGTCTAGCATATAGTATGTTGAATTTCACACCAGTATATGCATCCACGTATTCCAGGTTGAATCATTTTTACACAGCATATACCTAAATGAATCATCAAGGAACGTCAAGATATTTCCAATTACAGCAACCACGGAAACATTTCGAATACAGACATTTATAGTATCAATGATCGCAAACAACTTATAAGCCATTTATCTCGGGCATATAACTTTGTATTCAGCATATTCTCGAACAACAAAAAGTAGCCCCTCCTCTCTGATACAACTTTTGAAACAGGAAGCTCAAAAGTTAACAACTACACCAATCAAATAACCCTTGGGTAAAGAGTAAGCTGAAATGGTGAAGCAATACAAGAAGCCACATATAAACTCACCATCAGACAAGCCATTTGATTAGACAATTTGTTTAGCCATATCAACCGGCAAACAAGGTATGGACACCAGGAGTGTTAAGAATTATGTTGGCAAGAAAGATAGTTAACAATACATAAAACAGAAATAGAAGGAAAAAGGAAAAATGAAACACATAGAGCATCAATATGTGCAGCCCCTGCTTTTGCACAAAGCTGCAGGGATAAAATTCCAGTTCCAGATCCCACATTGACATCATTTACTTTGGAATAGAAACTTATTCATATAAATAACGTTTCTCTTAGTTCGCACCTATCCTTTAGCATTTCCTGAAATATAGGAATTCCTGAAATATAGGAATTTGTAGGTTCAGTAGAGGAAAACCATTTTCCAAACAAAAAGAAGCTAAAAAAAAATCCAACCCTACCAAGTTCTACCCAAGGCAGGTATAATTTTCCATAAACTGACCTATGTGCAAAAATGACGATTGTTTTTTAATAATAACTTTAACACATTACTTTATGGGTAAGCTCAACTAAAAAGAACAATAACACCCAAATCCTCATTCACAGATCTTCGGAACCCTATAAATCATAAAAAATGGATGCTGGAGCTGAGCTAGTTTCATCCGTAGAACCGGTAAGCGTAAAACCTACACTTTTAGTTTTGAGCAATATATATTATATTTAAAGCAAAAAAAAAAAAGAATCTATGTATTCACCTAGCTCAACCCTTTTATTTTATAAGAAGCTTCAAGAACATTCTGTTCAAATGCAGCCAACTTCCAACTTAGTTTTCTTTGTTTTATTAATTTCTTGGAATCAAAATCCAAATGGATCGTTTCTTTCTTTTAGGATTTGAAAAACTGGGTTTGTTTTAAATTATTCAAAGCAGTTAACTTTAGGTTTCTTTCTTTTAGGTTTGAAAAAACTGGGTTCGTTTTAAATTGTTCAAAGCAGCTAACTTTTGATTTGGGTTATGACAATGGAGTAACTTTAAGAGGCCCAGATTGTTTTAAAGAAGCAAATTTTTTAAAATTTTTGAGGGATTACATATTTACATTCTTTTATTTTTTCTTGAAAAATGGAACAAGGAACCGTATCTCTTGTCTTTGCTTGACAATGGTGACTACGGGCGTTGGAAGTGCCGACAATCTTTTTTCCCTTTCATTGTGGACATACGAGTTTTTTTCACATTGATTTGATTACATTATTTTCTGTTATTAATCGGCTTCTACCCATTACAATCCCACCCCGTTACCCACGAAGGGTTGATTGGAGAGAGAAGAAGGGAGCGGAACAAGTGTTGAATCCAGTGAGAAATCTAGGGTCTTGTTGTAAGATATTTTAGAACGCATTTAGGCTGGTTTACATATTTTGCAAAATATATTAACTACTAATCAAATTTTCATCTGATCTTTTAGAGGCATGTTGGGCCATGGCAGCCATTGTGGTGCTTGAGAGTGTGAGAAAACGACATCCACGTTTTCAACATGAAAAATTGAAAATTTTGTCTCCACAAATGCTTATAGACTGCCTTTGCGAAGATCCTCCAAGAGAAAAAACAGATCCAGACACTGGATGTTATATCTCTACTGTCAACAAGGCTTTCGACTGGTTGAAAGAAAACTCGTTGCAATCTGAAGCCGATTAGCCTTATGTTGGCAGGAGAGGGAAGTGTTACCTGTTTCAGTGGCATTAAATATAAATTACTAATATGTGCATATCTTTTTTTTAATGTTATAAGTATATCATTTTTTAAATTATTCTTAGTTGTTTCAGCCTAAAGACAGTTTGAAGACAAAAGATTATCTAAAGATAAAAGGACATGAGAGGACAAAACTTCTTCAACGTGTTGCTCGTCATCCTGTAGCAGCAGTTATTGACATTACTAAGGAACTTTTGGCTCTAAAAGATGTAAGATGTAGACAATTTAATCCATTTCGTTTTATAATCAGTAATTATTATTAGTATTATTATTATTTCATGTTATTTACTTCTAAAGTAAGTATAAATTGTTTCAGAAAATTTATGAAGGACCTGCTATGAAATCTGAGGGAGACCCAGCGAGACACGCTGTTGTAATTATCGGGTATGGTAGGATGAGATGACTGGCAAAAACTATTGGTTGATTCAAAGCTCGTGGGGAGATAGA